TAACCAAGGCTTGCTTTGATGAGCAATACGTTAGTTTCAATTTTTATTTTCTTATATTATTTTTAATTATTAGTAATCCATCCATTCTAGAAAATTATTGGCCACGATCTTTTAAATCTCACACTTGCATCATTCTACCTGATTGTTTTTTCTGGTACTGTGATTAGATCCACGCCAGATCATATTTTACTACTAATTCCAAGTCTCTTTTCATTTATTTATTTATTATTTGAGACAAAGTCTCATTCTCATTGCCCAGGCTGGAGTGCAGTGGTGTGATCATGGCTCTCTTCAGCCTCAATTTCCCTGGCTCAAGTGATTCTCTCACCTTAGCTTCCTGAGTAGCTGGAACCACAGGCACGCACCATCATGACTGGCTAATTTTTTATATTTTCAGTAGAGTCGGGCTTTTGCCATATTATTCAAGCTGGTCTCCAAATCCTGGGCTCAAGCTATCCTCCTGCCTCCGCCTCTGAAAGTGCTGGGATTACAGGCATGAGTCACCTTCCCTGGCCCTAATTCCAGGTTTCTTAAACTCACTTTTGCATTTTTCTCTCTGCATTTCACATAATTCCTTAAGATCTGATTACATAGTTTATTAAATTTCTACTGGTAGGTCCAATTGGCTGCTGTTAAACTCATGCAGTAAGCTTTTTATTTTAATTTGTCTTATAATTATATGTTTATTTTCTATAATTTCTATTAGGTTCTTTTTTCAAGTCTCTGTGGTCACTTTTTGTATTTCTTTAGTCCTTCAATATATTTATAAGAATCTTTTTCTTTCTTTTTTTCTTATCTTCAGATGGAGTTTCACTCTTGCTGCCCAGGCTGGAGTATAGTGGCACGATCTTGGCTCACTGCAACCTCGGCTCACTGCAACCTCCACCTCCCTGGTTCATGCGATTCTACTGCCTCAGCCTCCTGAGTAGCTGGGATTAAAGGCGCACACCACCACACCCGGCTACTTTTTTGTGTATTTTTAGTAGAGACAGGGTTTCACTATGTTGGTCAGACTGGTCTCGAACTCCTGACCTCGTGATCTGCCTGCCTTGGCTTCCCAAAGTGCTGGGATTACAGGCGTGAGCCACCGTGCCTGGTCTCAAGTCTGTATCTTGTTAATTCTCCCTTTTCACTCCTTTCATTTCCATTGTTTGTTGCTTTTTTTTTTTTTTTTTTTTTTTCCAGAGACAGGATCTCAAACTTCTGGTCTCAAGCAATCCTCCAGCCTCAGCCTCCCGAAGTGCTGGGATTATAAGCATTAGCCACCACACCCAGCTCCCCTTGTCTGTTGCTTTTGTTTTCATTAGTCATACTTCTGGTTTCATGATGTTTGGTCAATTTTGATTGTGAAGCTGCTTGTGCATTTTGGGGGGTATATTTTAGCTGTGGCAATTTGTTGAGGTGTAAAGTGAAGCTTGTTTTCCAGAGATGACTTGTATTTGTTTCTACCGGGTGCTCAGGGGCACAAAACCAGCCTGGGATATGCCTAAATTAAATTCTCAGCTTGGGTGTTTGAATCCCTATGGTATGAATGCCAGGAATAAGTAAGCATCAAGGATGGCTTGTAGTCCAAACCTTAGCAGTGGAATCTATACTGCTCAATGTCAGGCCTCTGAGCCCAAGCTAAGCCATCATATCCCCAGTGACCTGCACGTATACATCCAGATGGCCTGAAGCAACTGAAGATCCACAGAAGTGAAAATAGCTTAACTGATGACATTCCACCATTGTGATTGGTTTCTACCCCACCCTAACTGATCAATGTTCTTTATAATCTCCCCACCCTTAATAAGTTTCTTTGTAATTCTCCCCACGCTTGAGAATGTACTTGGTGAGCTTCACCCCCTGCCCCCAAAACATTGCTCTTAACTTCGCCACCTATCCCAAAACCTGTAAGAACCAAGGATAGTCCCACCACCCTTTGCTGACTCCTTTTTCGGACTCAGCCTGCCTGCACCCAGGTGAAATAAACAGCCATGTTGCTCACACAAAGCCTGTTTGGTGATCTCTTCACACCGACACATGAAACACTCAGAACCCAACTTCAGAGCTGACTCTTTTATTTGCATTCATCTGTGATGGGTTTGTATGTGTGTTTATTTCCAGTTCATCCTTCTACCCTGAGGTGACAGATTTTCGTCTGGTGTCTCACCTTCACCTAAAAAGATTTCTTATCAGGCCCTATATACCCTGATCGGTTTCCATATAACACCCTAAAAATGAAAGTTAAAGGTTGGGTAAAAGCCAGCTGTAGTGCTTGGGGTTTAACATGGGCCAAATCCCTGGCTCTGATTTCTCTTTACTTTTTTAGACCCTCTTTGTTACTTTTAAGAATTTAGAAACTGTTATTCAGGTTTTTAGTTATCCGTTCAAGTACCAAGCTTGCCACGTTATGGAAAATGTATCCCATAATCCAAGATTTCATGTTTGTTTATGAGGGCATGAGGACATTGAGGGCATGAGGACAATGAACTTCTAAACTCATTCGTCTTTTAGACAATGATCATCCACCACCTAAGTTCTCCATCTCAGCTAACATTTGACTCCAAACCTAGCCTCATCCATCTCACAATTTTCACGTGGTAAGTATTGGTTCCTTTCCTTATGGCCACTCCCTCCTTGTTCCCTCTCGACTCTTCTGAGATTCTTTTTCTCCCACAATCATCCATTCCCCAGCAGTGAAAACCTTTTGTCATCATTCTATCTTGTGCAGCAGAAGCTACATCCTGCCAGAAGGAGGTTTTCTTTCCCTTTCTACCTTATCCAGTCCTAGGTACTAAGGGGCATCTAGGAAAGGGTAAATTGTACTGCAAAGGGGGCTTCAGTCCTGCGGTAACTATTGTCTACCTGCAGTCAGACACCTCAATGACTATTTGGGTTTCTGCCGTTACCTAGTGAACTTTTAACCTGAAAGCTGCCAAAAGAAAACTATAAATTAAATAGCTTTCTGAAAAAGACGGTTTAGCAAAATAATTTTAAGGTGTCTCAGAAGTTGCTTCTTTTTTCCTGCACCTCAGCGCCTAGGATCCGCCTTTTCCTCCCCTACTCGCCTAAGAGCTTCAGAGAGAAACTGGCCCAATTACAAAGCAAACCAGAAACCTTTGTAATACTTCCGTGTTCAGCTCACATTGTCTTCAGCCTTTACTTGCAGTTATCACGGATCTGCATGGTAAAAATTTTACAAGAAAATGGGGGGCGGAGGTGATGGTGGAGAAAGCTTCAAACAGAAGGAAGTTGCAAAAGGGTGCTCTTTTGTGCTCAGGGTGGGCCGTCACCACACGAAGTCCCAGATCAACATCACGATCAACTTGGAAATCTGCACACGGAAACGAAAGAGCTGTACACTTACAGTACTTTCAGTTTATGTTAGTGTTATCGGACACTAAATGAGCTAATGATCTAGTATGTGCCCATAGCACTCAACTTCTGGTACCTATTGTTACTACCTATAATTTCCAAGTATTTCCTCTGCAGTACTAACATAACATTAAAGATTGGTAGTATGGTGCTGAGAAATCCAATAATCCCCCTTTTGAATGAAATTACAACTCATTTACTGAAAACATGCGTGGCTCTTAAAAGAGCCTTTGGGATTAGGTGTAAAGATGCTTACTTGGCAAAGTTACTTGGAACTGGTGTACTTGGTGACGGCCTTGGTGCCCTCCGACACGGCGTGCTTGGCCAGCTCCCCCGGAAGCAGCAGGCGCACGGCCGTCTGGATCTCCCTGGAAGTGATGGTCGAGCGCTTGTTGTAGTGCGCCAGGCGGGAAGCCTCGCCGGCGATGCGCTCGAAGATGTCGTTGACGAAGGAATTCATGATCCCCATAGCCTTGGAAGAGATGCCGGTGTCGGGGTGGACCTGCTTCAGCACCTTGTACACATACACGGAATAGCTCTCCTTGCGGCTGCGCTTGCGCTTCTTCCCGTCCTTCTTCTGCGCCTTAGTCACCGCCTTCTTGGAGCCCTTCTTTGGGGCAGGAGCAGACTTGGTAGGCTCAGGCATAGCAACGTTAATAATTACAACACTGTCGCAAACACCTGAGAAAATAATCACTCCCACCGATGCCCCGTTCATTTATAGATGCGGTATTCAAATGAGGTTAATCAGATTTCGTTTATGATTGGATTAATTTTCGTGTGTCGTCACAAATGCCAATGTAAACGACACTTAAAAGTCTACCTTTTCATTGGCTATTTCATTACTTTACTTTTACCCAATCAGAAAGCCCAGACCAGACTACCCGAGGCTACTATAAATAGTCGTCTTTAGACAAGTCAGCTGTGCACTTCTCTTGGAGCAGTTGTTTTTGAGATCACACTTTTTATTAGCGTTGTGGTGTCAGAACGTATACTGAAAGATGCTTTAGATTAGGAGAGCTCACATTCTCTTTCTTCCTCTAACAAATTATAGGACTCGTTGCATACAGAAGTCATGGTAATTGGGATATCCCTGGAAGTCTGGCAGTTCTGCGTTTGGGAAGTCCTTCATCTATGCAAATGCTACATTTAAGGACCAAGTATTTTCTGCAGTGTCAATTTCTAATTTTTAGTTGTGGCAGTGGTTGAAATAGTGTACTACGCCACCTGTGTCGAGACCTACTCCTCTGCACTCCTTCATTGCTGGCCATACTCTGTAGGGAGCCAGCACGGAAATTGATACTGTTCTCTATTCGGAACTCATACGTCCCAGCCTGGAAGCCCGGGAAAATCCCGACTTTTTTTCCCATGCTATTTGCAGGCCAGATCTGGCTAAGTAAGTGTTAAGTACTACGGAGGTCGAAATGGGTTTTAACTCCAGTATTCGAAAACGCAATAAAAGCTCAATGACGCGGTTGCACTCCTGCTTGGCCGACGGAACGCGAAATGACCCCCTGGTCAAAAACAGCTCCTCTCTCCCGACTTTGTTCCCGGGAGACCCGCCCCTACTTAGCGTCGTTTTTTTCTCCCCGGCCACACCCCCTGATAGTGTAACAGCTCTTTTACTGAAAGCGGTGGGTGGCTCTGAAAAGAGCCTTTGGGTTGTGTTGAGCTTCTAAAGCAGTTGGCCAAAGGAACTTCCTACTTTTTCTTGGCTGCCGCCTTCTTTGGCTTGGCTGCCTTGGGCTTGGCGGTCTTTGGTTTAGCCGCCTTGGGTTTCACTGCTTTGGCCTTCGCTGGGCTCTTGGGCGCCTTTTTTGGCTTGGCTGCTTTAGCCTTTTTCGGGCTTTTCGCTTTTTTGGCTCCAGCAGCCGCAGCCGGCTTCTTCGCCTTCTTTGGGGTCTTCTTGGCGCTCTTCTTAGGGGTGGCTGCCCCTGTCGCCTTCTTGGGCTTCTTCGCCGCTCCTGTAGGCTTCTTGGCTTTGGCCGCGCCTGCCTTTTTAGCTTTAGGCTTGGCTTCCCCGGAGGCCGCCTTCTTGTTGAGTTTGAAAGAACCCGATGCGCCGGTGCCCTTGGTCTGCACCAGAGTGCCCTTGCTCACCAGGCTCTTGAGACCCAGCTTGATGCGGCTGTTGTTCTTCTCCACGTCATAGCCAGCAGCTGCCAGCGCTTTCTTGAGAGCGGCCAAAGATACACCGCTGCGCTCCTTGGAGGCGGCAACAGCCTTAGTAATGAGCTCGGACACAGGGGGCCCAGACGCTTTGCGCTTAGCCGCACCTGCGGACTTGCGGGCCTTCTTCTTCACGGGTGTTTTCTCGGCAGGGGCCGGAGCAGCGGGCGCAGCAGGCGCAGTCTCGGACATGTTGAAGGCAGGCGTGAGAGAGAGAGCAATTCGAGCCGGAAGCAGAGGCACTGGCCGGGACTCGGGCCGCGGCGCTGCGCCCGCCCGTTTATATAGGGCGGAGCTGCGCCGTGATTGGTGCGCTGTCCAGCCCGCCTCGCTGGCAGCCGCAGAGTGTCCTCTCGGATCCCGAGTTGTGTTTGTTACACCTCAAAAAAAGCCAAAAATATAAAAATTGTCTGCACCGAACTACCCGGTTTTTCTCAGATAATGATCCCCGAACCCTCAGGCTTCACGCAGATCTCAAATTATGAGGAAAGCACAAAGCCTTGTGCCAAAAACTTGCAATATTTCCCGCCGTGCTTGGCAAATTTCAACTCAGAGAAACAAAACTTTCTATTTTCTTCGTAAATTATAAACCGATCTTTAACTGTGGAGTTTTCTGACCTCTCAAATATGATTCTCCAAGTGGTTAGCTTCTGATATATCCAAAAAGCATGCCACTGGCATTAAGATTTTTATTACAAATCTGCACTTAAGTGAGGGAAGTAACACAGGCTCCTCGGAGAGTCCTGCCTATTGAGCCGAGGGCATTTGAGTTCATCAAACTGGTTTAGTTTAATGCTAAACAAATTATTCCTCATTTGACATTAAGTTTTGGACCCCTGGGACATCAATCTATGCAGCCATAGTTTTACATCTGTCCGCTATATCTGAGTTTTAAAACAATTCCTTTGGATAATTCTTTCCCTTTCTGCTCCCAAGGGTTGGGGGCGGGGCTGTTGCTTCTCTCTTCTCTGGACAACTGCTCCATGGATTGAGATACCTTGAATTCAGGGTATTTGGGAACGAAGGGAAGTCCAAAATATACTCAGGGTACAGAGTTCAAAAAAGATTAATTTTCGAATGTGATGTTCATAAAGTCACTGGAAGTGGAGGTGCACTTTTCTTTAAAGCATTTGTCTGCAGCCTTGCTGAGTGCTTTTGGCATATGCTTCAGAACCAAATTGCAATAAAGTAGCTTAGAGCTGGAATTCAAACATTGATAATAAGGGAAAATAAATAAGAACTGTATATTGAAACATATGTACTCCCATTATTAGAGAAGCCCAGCCGCTATTATTACTGAATAGTTGAGGAATGACTAGTCCACTCACCATGTATGGTTTCAATCCCCCTGAAGACTGTATCCCAACGCTTCGCAGAGCGCAATAGAAAGAAAAATAAGTGACATGTAGTGATTAAATGACAAGTTCAAATTTCGATCTCAGAAGCAGAGCTTTGAGAGTCTATCTAAGCTATTATAAATCATTGCCCTCTGAAAACATCCTTTGAACAATGTCTGAGTAAATCTCTTTAGGTAGTTGCCCAACCAAGAAGAGTGTATGTAGGTTGGCAATGAAAGCCCAACTAAAAGAATTATTTCTGAATAACGGTATGGCTGGAACAGTATGGGTGGAACTACAAGCCACTTATCATGGAAACAAAATAAAATTTTGCCCAATGCTATAAGTTGATACGATACTGTTCTGTGGACGTGGCTGATTGTAATATGGCGTTGGATATCACTTTAAATTTTAATTTCATTGCCCAAAATCTCCAGACAAAAATTCTGCTACTGAAATAAAGAGAATATAGAATTTTGATATAACACGAGTGAAATGTGTCAACACAATACTGTTTAATGTTGAATTTGGTATAAAAGTGATGTAAATTATCAATGTTTTTAATATCTTCATGTGTAAATAAATAAAATTTAATTATTGCACAGCAGTGCAAAAGTAAATATGTCCTTTGGTGTTTATTGAAATAAAAAGGGAGATGGATAAATCTCCAAAACATACTAGGGAAACTGATTATATGGGCATTTGATTCCAGAATGGTAACATTATACCTATTTAATGACAACAAAAACCACTCCTGTAAATGGCTGAAAGTTACACAACACATGGAAGTTTGCTTTCACATGCCTCACTTTATCCAGTGTATTCCTCATGGCTAGGAAGGAGTTAAACTCCAAATTCTGTGGTCTTTCAGTTTCCACTGCTTGCCCCCTTAAACTGTGGTGTGTTTTCTTTTCTTTCTCTCTCTTTTTTTTTTTTTTTTTTTTTGAGACAGAGTCTCACTGTGTCACCTAGGCTGGAGTGCAATGGCGGGATCTCTGTTCACTGCAACCACTGTCTCTGCCTCGAAATGCATGGGCTGGGAGCAGTGGCTCACGCCTGTAATCCCAGCACTTTGGGATGCTAAGGCGAATGGATGACCTCAGATCAGGAGTTCGAGGCCAGCCTGACCAACATGCTGAAACCCCATCTCTGCTAAAATAATAATAATAATAATAATAATAATAAAGTTAGCCAGGTATGGTGGTGTCCATGCGCCTGTAATCCCAGTTACTTGGGAAGCTGAGGGAGGAAAATTCCTTGAACCAGGAAGCTGGAGGTTGCAGTGAACGTGCTCTTGAGCCTGGATGACAGAGATTGAGGACTGGCCACTATTAAATCAAGCATCTATTTGATATTTGTTGGTGATGAAATATGAACAATAACAAAAGGCTTCACTTTCTTATTGATCAGTGGGCTGGCTATCTCAGAACTAGGTGTGTGTGCACACACACATGTTCATGCATATGTCTTATTTTTTATTTTATTATTGTTTTTTCAGATGGAGTTTCGCTCTTGTCACCCAGGCTGGAGTGCAATGGCGCTATCTCAGCTCACTGCAAACTCTGGTTCCGGGGTTCAAGCAATTCTCCTGTCTCAAAAGCCCAAGTAGCTGGAATTACAGGCGACTGCCACCACGCCCAGCTAACTTTTGTATTTTTAGTAGAGACAGGGTTTCACCATGTTGGTCAGGCTGGTCTCCAATTCCTGATATCAGGTGATCCACCCACCTCGGCCTCTCAAAGTGCTGCGATTTACCGGCTTGAGACACCTTGCCTGGCCCATGTGTTTTGTTTGTTTTTGAGACTGAGACAGAGTCTCGCTCTGTTTTCCAGGCTGGAGTGCAGTGGCAAGATCTTGGCTCAATGCAACCTCCACCTCCAGGGTTCAAGCAACTCTACTGCCTCAGCCACCTGAGTAGCTGGGATGACAGGCACCCACTACCACACCCAGCTAATTTTTCGTAGTTTTAGTAGAGACAGGGTTTTACCATGTTGGTCAGGCTGGTCTTGAACTCCTGACCTCAAGTGATCCACCCGCCTTGGCCTCCCAAACTGCTAGGATTACAGGCATGAGCCACCCAGTCATGCATGTGTTTTAAACAGATTATGAGACCTTGTTCAAGATTATTCTGATGTCATAACTCTTCAGTAGGTCCTCAGAATCTGAATATTTATCAGATTTCTCATGTCACTCTTATGCCGGGCCAAGTTTGGGAGCTCTGCTGAACTCACTAGAGATGACCAACAGGGCAAATGTGCTTCCTGTCATGTGAGTTCTCCCATGGATTTATGGAGATCTTAGAAATGATATCCATGCTGAATATGACCATATATTGGAAAGACGGGTCAGCATTAGTCCAATCTTGACTTCCTTTAAGTCACACCTGCCTGGCCACTATAGTGGGCTGAAGAAGGAGAAAGGAGAGTAAGTAATCATCCAATAAGTCATTATTTTCCAACCACAGAAGGTAGACTGAACCTTGGCTTTCTGTGAACTACTTGAATCCTCTAGTACAGCATCTACATTCCTTATCCTTTTTATCATTTTTAATGATAGTTATCCTTTCCATTTGTTGGCTACTGTACTATGTGGTATCTGCAAATTTTCTTCCACTACAACTGGGCTGCAGCCTGAGCTACCTGCATTCTTACTTAATCAGTGTAAGAATCCTCTGTTATGGATAGTATCTCCACTTTATATAGGAGGAAATGGACATGCAGAGGTTAAGAAGTTATCTTGAAAACTAATGGTAAGAGGTACATTCCAGATTCCAGGGCACATTGGTTTTACTTCAAAGCATGTATGCTTATTAAACAGTGTTTTCTCAAACTTCAGGTCTGAACACGCATGAAAAGTTGTGAAATCAATTTAGTTGTCAAGGCCAAATTATTTTTCTTTTTAGGGAATTAGAATAGAATATAAAATACCAGTTTTCACTGCATGTAGTTTTAGTTATATACACAATTCTTTGTTTTAGGCCCCTAACTAAAAGACATTTCTGCTGTGCCTATTCACATGTCTACAGTGATAGTATGTCTTCCTTGTGCAATTTCTTGAGCTTTTATAGTCATAAAATATTATCAAGTATGTTATTCTTTAATGAGCTAAGAAAGTAATTTCTTATCATTGGCATTTTTAAAGTCTCTAAGGTACCCTGAGTATTGGAAAATGGGGGACACGCTAATTGCTTTTATTTTGGACATGATAGCAGTAATATGCAGCTACAAATATAGCTATGAACTAAGGAGAACAATGTGCTTTGCAGAAAAGTTGAAAGAAAAGAGAAGATTGTGCTTGGTTGCTTTTACCTCACAGTTCTTCACTTGAAGAGCTTAATTCTGAATTTCTGTATTTTAATATAATGTTACCATGATTGTTTCATTAAAGACAGAGTTTGGAAAAGAAGTACTTTATACTAGATAGATGGACTATATATTATCTTCCAAATTGTTTTCTTTTTACTTAAGTCAATAATTAAAGCTGTGATTTGCACAACCATGGTTATTTATCACAGCAATATTTGGAATTATAAAATATTTCAAACAACTTTAATGCCCCTACATAAGAGAGTGGTTGGATAAAGTAGGATGCATTTACACAGTGTAGTAATATGCAGCTACAAAAATGACTAACTAAGATCTCTATGAACTAGTATAAATTCCAGGATATACATTTAAGTGATAAGGCAAAGTCCAAAGGAATATACAAAATACAATGACCTTTCCTGAGAAAGAAGGGAATATAAGAAAACACACAATTTTTTATTCATTTGTGCACAAGAAATATAGAAATGATAAACCAAAAACTAAAAATCATTGGCTACCTGTGGGAGGTGAATGAGAAAGAAACAAGGGGGAAAGAAGGAGGAATGGGAAAAAACAGTAAGGACTTTAAGAAGGGACTGAAACTTTTTTGAGTATACCTTTTC